AACAAAAAATGCCTCCAGCCCCTCATTGTCCCCAGAATGGCTGAGCAATGGATGCAGGATGAAAAGAGGGACTCTTGTAAGGCATTCTGAGCCCAGAAGATGATCAAAAGCAGGAAGAGAGGGCCTAGAGCCCTAGATGAATCTCAGGGATATCTTTCCTGGGGTTTAGGGGCTCACAGGAGGTTTTAATATAAGAGGAAAGATCACATAGTGGCTTAGAGCACAGAATGGGGGCATCAGATCAACCTAGGAGCACATCCCAGTCCCACTACTTACTCTCTTGATCTTTGTGAGCCTTACTTTCTACTCTGTAAAATGGGAACAATATCTGAACCAACCTTGAGGTGAGAGAAAGCATGCTCTCGCTCCTGGCTGATGGTGAGCACTCTCCAAGTGTCAGCCACCATAAGATCATCCCTGGGAGGCTCAGAGCACCAGCCTTACTGGAGGGGACCAAGCAGAGGGATAGCCCGGGAGACCGCCCCAGCCAGCAGGGCTGATAGAGCCCAGAATCTCAGCCTGTAAACATGGCCCGGCCCCCATCCCTGCAACAGACCCAGGGGCAGGACACAGAGAGAAGCAGGGCCAGCCAGACATAATGCAACACAGCAGAGGAGCCAGATTATTTACTTTAACGTGGAAAGTGTCTTCCAGAGGACGGCCTTTTATTTGGGTGAATCTGGGGGCTGTGTCTCAGCTTAAACTCATTATCTGCACACATGGTCTTCGTACTCCGGTTCAGGGTGGGAAACAAAGGGTGGAAGAGAAAGGATGGGCCAATAGGAGCTGATGAAATATCATCCCTCAAGTGCCAGAAACCGGGATATTTTCAGTGACGTCACATTGGGCTTCCTGCCATGGGGATAGGGCTATCGTGAGAATACTCACAAGACTTTAACTTAGGAATCCTCAATGAAGCAGGGAAAGAAAGAAAACTAAAAAAGCAGCTTATTTTATGTACCTTTGTCTTCTATCCCCAAAACACGCTCTCTCTCTCTCTCTCTCTCTCTCTCTCACACACACACACACACACACACACACACACACACACTGTGCCCCAGAAGATCAGAGCTGGAAAGGACCAAAGTTGATCTTCCTACTTCACAGTAACTGTATAAAGATAACAATGACAAAATGATAATATCTACTGAGCATGTGCCACTTCCGGCCACTGTGCTAAGTGTTTTATATGTTTCATCTCATTGGCTGTTCACAACAATCTGATAAGGTATTATTAGTCCCATTTTACACATAAAAAAGCTGAGGCATCAGAGATTGAACAGCCGAGGGTTGCAGAGCTAATAACTAGGAGAGAGCCAGCATTCAAACAACCCAGGCAGCCTAACCACCACGCAATGCTACCTGTAAAGAAGCAGAGAAACGAGCACAGAGAGGGGCGGTGACTCACTCCAGGTCACACAGCTCCATCTGTAACAGAATCAGGGTGAGGACACAAATCTCCTGAACTCCTGGTCCAGTGACCCTTCCACTCCCTCCTGGTGCCTCTTAGTCCTTACTAGTACACACAGGCGCACAGCAGTGAACACGCTTCTGCTCATCTCCAAGTTGTTTAAGTCACTAATACAGCAGCAGTCAGGGGTGCAGACAAGGGCTAAGGGTTGCACCTTATGAGAAGTGCCCAGATGAAAGGCCTGCTTGGCCCGTTGCGAACACCGGGAATCATCATCTCACTTTCTCTTATTTTAATAAGCGTTTCATTATCTGCTCCCCCTCCCTCGATCGGAGCGCTGATGCGGGTCCAAGGTGCCAGCCTGTGTGGCAGGAGGAGCCCAAGCTGGCAGGTTTGCTCAATGGCATCAGGTTGCAGAACTACCCGCTCAACCCATCATCTGCTCCCGGGGAGCAGGGGGTGGGGGGGGGTTGGCAAAGTGCTGGTTTCCAAGGCCCCTCCCTTTGCAGTGTCCCAGCTGAGTCTGAACAAATGTTCCTGATTTTCTTTTCAACGGCTGATGAAATAGGCCAGTGAGCAGCTCTCTGGAAAGAGGGGTCCCTACAAGGGGCGGCCCAGCCACCACCATTTGCTCCTCCCAGGGAAGGGGAGAGAGTGAATGCTGGACAGGCCTCAGGAGAAAAGCAGCCAGCGGACAGACATGGGTTCCCAGCAGGCACTGACATTACCCCCGTACCGAAAACTGGTGGAGGCCAGGAGCCTGGC